GAAGGGACCATTCCCTGGAGAAGGATGTCATGCTTGGTAGGGTGGAGGGTCAACGAAAGAGAGGGAGGCCTTCAACGAGATGGATTGACATGGTGACTGCGATGATGGGCTCAAGTATAGCAGGGATTGTGGGGCTGGCGCAGGATTGGGCAGTGTTTCATTCTGCTGTGCATGGGGTCGCTATGAATCGGAAATGACTCGACGGCACTTAACAACAACAACAACAACATAAGAATGTCCAGGTATATAGTAGAACTGACAAGGGACAAGGTTGTGGTGACTTCTTGGCCACAGCCAGCTACCTGGAGGGAGTGAGTAGTTAGACCTGTAGGCTCAGTACCATGGTCACAGGGAACATCAAGCTCAATTGGCATAACATTACACAAAAACATTGTTCCACATCCTACTTTGATGAGTAGGGACTGGGATCTTAAAAGCTTGCAAGCGGCCATCTATATGCAACAATAGGTCTCTTCTCATCCAGAGCAAAGAATAATGAAGAAAACCAAACATACTTGGAAACAATTAGTCCAAGGGACTGGTAGACCATGCATTCCTCAGCCTATATGACCATGAGACTGGAAGAACTAGATGGTGCCCAGCTACCACTGTCAACCACTCAGAGGGAGATCTGTGTAGGTGATGCTGGATAGAGTAGGAGAACAATATGGTACAAAACTCAAAATTATGAGGAAAAAGAAAAACAGGTTTGCTGGTCTGATAGAGCCTGGTGAAACCCCTGAGACTATGGCCCCTACCTGCCCTTCAGGTCTGGAATTGAACTCACTCCTGTGGTTTCCAGACAAATAAACGACCAGCATATAGGAGCTCTGGTAGCATAGTGCCTAAGGCACTTGACTGCTAACCAGAAGACTGGCGGTTCAAACCCACCAGCCACTCCTCAGAAGGAAGATGGGGCAATCTACTTCTGTAGTGATATTGCCTCGGAAACCCAAGGAGGGGTCATTATGAGTTGGGTCCGACTCGACGGCACATAACAACAACAACATATAGGCTGAACATTTACATCAGGTAGATAAACTCCTTGGAGAGATCAATCATGGGTGAACAGAAGGCCAGTGTATGCACAGGGAGATCACTGGAGGGGCAGGGGTACGTGGAAGGGAAGGACACAGGAAAGAGGTAACTATAGGGAGGAAGTGGGAAGAGAGCTGTCACATTGTGGGAAATTGCAATGTTATGAGAAAAAATGTATATGAACTGCTGTGTGGAAAATGAATTTGCTCTGTAAACTTTCCCCTAAATCACAATAAATTTTTTTAAAAAAAGAAAAGAAAGCCATTCTCAAATGGGATTATAACCACAGGTATAGGGGTTAAGATTTACAACACAGATTTTGGGAGGACACAATTCAATCCATGACAGTCCTTATCCTACCTTTCCCTATATAATTTAAGATGTCCTAAACCAAAACCAAACTCACGGCCATCAAGTTGGTCTCGACTCATAGCGACCCCTCCGTGGGTTTCTGAGGCAGTATCTCTACAGAAGTAGATTGCCCATCCTTCCATCCAAGGAGTGACTGGTGGGTTTGAACTGCCAGCCTTCTGGTTAGCAGTCAAATTTAGGCACTACATCACCAGAGCTCCCTAAGGTGTCGTACCATATGTCAAATGAAAGTAAAATGGCAACCAAGCAAAGGCACATTGAGGAAATCATTTTTGTTTCTGGAATAACACTCGATATACTAACTTGGTATACAATATATTAACTTGTTATATGATATACTAACTTGGTATATGAGCTTGGTCAATAGCCAAATGGTAGGAATGAATCACCAGTAGAAATCATTTAACAGTTGGCTGAACAAGAAAATAAACCAGGCCAAACCCACTGTACTCAAGTCAACTCCAACTCAGTGATTCTATAGATCAGAGTACAACTGCTCCATAGAGCTTCTAAGGCTATAAATCTCACAGAAGCAGAGTGCCACATTTTTCTCTTGCAGGGTAGCTGATGGGTTTGAACCACCGACATTTGGTTAGCAGCCAACCTCTAACCATGGTGCCACCAGGGCTGCATGGCAGAACTGAAGCACAGTTTAAATTAAATACTTCCCAGTAAGCAGATGCAGCTGACTTCCTCTCACTATGATACGAATGGTAACAAAAACAACCAGGCAACATATCTGGCTCAGTCCTTTCCCTTGATATCCCAGATATTAAAACCAAAATCCAGACTCACTGCCATCAAGTCGATTCTGACTCATATAGTGACCTCCATTGGGTTTCCAAGGAGGTAAATCTTTATGTAAGTAGGTTGCCCCATCTTCCTTCCTCAGAGCAGCTGATGGGTTTGAACCACAACCTTCTGGTTAGCAGTCAGATGCCTTAGACACTACACCACAGAGCTCCTTATCTCAACTGAAGTACTCTTCAAGACACTGAGAAGAGGGCCACGTTTTTTATAATTAGTATTGCTTCTTTTAGGACTATCCTTTGAAAAATGTCTGCTTTCCAGAGTGCCCCCAAATCTTAAAATACAGCTCTAGTTTACTAGGTTTATTGTAGCAAACACATACTCATGTACACTAGGTGGCATCAGTCATTGTTATTGCTCTTTGCAACTACAGCAAGCTCAGTCCTGGGACCAGAGATTGTATTAAGAGGACTGGACTGAGTTGCAGCTACGTGGGGACAGACAGTGCTCAGACACCTACGACATCCACCTGGTGTGACTGGATATAACTCTTCAGGAATTGTTCAGGGTAGAAGAGCCTGAAGTTGGATCACATACCTAGACTTTTCCCACAGACTATTGTTGACTGTCCTCACCTTCCATGACACTTCTGCCTCCAGTCTTTAACCTTTTAGTGACTTTCCTGCTTTCTCCGGGACCCAGGCATTAAGACCATTCAGTGTCAGCATGGATTAGGTTACTCTTATACACTCTTGCTGATTATATTAGTGTGTGGAGCATACACTAAGAGTCTTATGATTTATGTTAGAGCTGCTTTTTTTGTTTACTGCCCATTCTAGCACAGGAGCTTATAGCAAATATAAGTTAATCATGATGAGCTATTTTCATCAATCTGATCAACAATGGGCATGGGCTGTGTTCTGGTTACCTAGTGCCACTCTGACAAGAAATATACCACAGATGGGATGGCCTTAACAAACAGGAGTTTATTCTTACAATCTGGAGTCTTTAAGTCCAAGTTCAAAGTGCCAGGCTCTAGGGGCTAGGTAAAAGACCCTCAACCTTGGGGTCCAGCTCTGCCTCCTGCTCCCGGCCCACTGGAGCTAGAGGCGTTTCTTCACTCAGACAGCTGCTGACTGCTGAGGCTAAGAAGCCAAGATTGACAAATAAAAAGGCACAGTCCCAATGTTACCAAACCACATGGCAGGCCATTAACTTAAGTCCATTGTAAGTCCCCAGATCGGCAGAGCATAGCAAGCTGCTGAGCAACGACATGGCTACATGCACGGTTGAAACGTGCCATACTCTAGAGACCATTCCCAAGGTTTCTCCTTATATACAGGAAGCAGACCACATTCCAAAGGCAGCTACTCAGCTGCTTGTGATAGATCCCACCATGGAGTTGATTGCCAGTCTCATCATGGGGAATAACTACCACCAGCTGTCCAGCCATTCAACCAGGCCTAGCCAAGTTGACACACAAACATAACAACCACAGGTTGCTTTTCTTGAAACTATCCACTTGGACTTTTCATTCTTCTATGGACACTTACTCATCATGAGCAGGACCTGAGAGAGTTACTGCCATCTTCAGTGCACCCCAGCTAAGCCACCCCACTACACACTTGCCAACCTCCAACTGTACCCTGAAAATCCAGCCAACTAGTGTAAGAACGGTTCTGTTATTCACACAGGAACCCATCTAAAAAGTGATCCCACACATTCATCTCCTCTGCTGACTATCAGGGAAAGATTGAATCACCTGAGTGGTATAGAATAGTGGGGCAGCTTAATGAAGGGTTTTGTTTTTTTAAATGGTATGAGTTACATGAATACCAGACACACTTCAATTCTGAGAACCAGCATGAATCTCACAGCCAGAAAAAAGAAAAAAAAAAAAAACGTTGGGATTATGAATGTATCCTTTATTGTAAACATTTGAGGTAAGTCTAAATGATTCCGTAAGTGATCTTTTGTCAGAGTAAGAATTTTGAGGGCCCTATAACAACTAGTACAAGTGCCTTGATTTATAGGTGAGAACACTGAGTTCCCAAATGTGACTGATTTATTCAAAGTCTCTTGTCATTGGCTGTCTTTTCCCATCGCACCAAATCACAATTATTCCCACTTCCTTTTTCTTTTTTTTTTTTTAACAGATCAGACATCAGCAATGAAAATTAAAATTATCTTCTGTTATGTTTTGCCTATATCTATTACCATGTTTATTTTTTCTGTGATGGGCTACTCCATTTACAGATATATCCATGTTGGCAAACAGAAACACCCAGAAAATTTGGTAAGTGCTTGGTGTGGCAGGAGTCATTATTATAACAACAAATCTCCAGGAAAACACAAAAGAAAGTTATAGAACAGATGAAGTTTTATTTATGAAGGAAGTGAATTCAAAGTTAAATAGTTGATCAATTGAAAAACACTTTCTGCTCTGGATTAGCTCACTAACATAACCAAAGATAATAGTCCCTTCGCTTTGGCTGAGATTTTGCATTAAGTGACCAAATTATTCTCTGGTGGCATAGTGCCTAAGGCATTTGACTGCTAACCAAAAGGCTGGCATCTCAAACCCACCAGACACTTATCAGAAGGAAGGTTGGGCAATATACTTCCGTAGTCATACTGCTCAGAAGCCCAAGGAGAGGTCGCTGTGAGTTGGATCCAACTCAACAGCAGAGAGTTAGTTAGTTAAGCGTGTTGTTTTTAGATGCCAACAAGTCAGCTCTGACTTATAGCGACCCTTTCTACTACAGAACAAAACATTTTCTGATCATACACCATCCTTGGTGTATCCTTGGATACATTGCTGTC